CGGCCTAGTGTGTTACCCAAACGACTCATAACCAAAATAAAATGTTCCACCACACGGCATCTCTAATAAGAAGATAACATTTAAAACCTTAAAAATGAAGAATTAGGGTGCTTCAAAAATCCATCACAAGTCTCTAACACATTATGTCAATATGGAGATATATGGATATGAAAAGAAAAAAAGATTTATGAGTTTTAAAAATAATGTATCTTGTAACACATTATTTGGACCTTCCATTTTCAAGATTTTCAAATATTCATAGATCTACTTGATTTGAATCATTTTGGAAGCAAAAGATTTTATAATTAGAGATGAAAATAGATTATCAAGCAATCCTAATAAATTTTGACACCAAAATTATATCTATAATAAAATTTGGAGGCGCCCCTCAATTTGATTTACAACCAATTAAGGCGCACCTCCTAATTTTATCATAACATGTAATTTTGTTGTAAAAAAAATCTTAAGATTATCTTAAAATCTATTTTCATATCTAATTAGAAAATTTTAAACTCCAGAAAAGGTCAAAATCAAGTAGATCTATAAACATATGAAAATCTTGAAAATGGATGGTTCAGATAATGTGTTGCAAGATGCACTATTTCAGGGCTCAGAAACCTTTTTTTTTTTTTTTTTTTGCATATTTACACATCTCAATGTTGAAATGATCAATTAGAGGGTTTTTCAACATTAAAACGACATTTTTGATAAAATTTGTAGGCGCCTATGTAATTCTACATTATAAATTGCAACCTTATAAACTTTTTCCCAAAAAAAATATTTGCAATTATAAGCACAATATAGAGCAATGTTCTTCAATTGGGTTTTCTCCTTCACCCAAGCCACTCAAATTTTGATTTTTTTTTTGCTAAAATTACAATAGAAACACACTTATACACAATAATTGAAAACTCCTTCGAGTTACAAGAGGAAATCAATATTTATTTGTGAGAAATTTATCAAAATACATATAAAAAATTAACTATTTAATATTTATTTTTGAGAAATTTATCAAAATACATATGAAAAATTAACTATTTAATATTTTACTCATATCTTTTAATTCAATTTGAAAATACCCATCAACTCACACATGCCTTCAAATTAATTTGAAAATACCCATCGACTCACACATTGGAATAGTACAAAAGAGTGGTGTTAAATTATTGGAAGATCAGGTGTATTTAGATAAATTTCCCTTCTTTTATTTCAGCGCATTTAAGTTTGTTTTGCAGGACTGCGTTTTTCTCATCAGTAGACCTGAATTTTTTTATTACATATATGTTTCACCTTTTTATCAATTTCAATAAAAATGATTTCAAGTGTTTAAACCCATGAGGATGCTCTAGATTCAATCGGAGACATATATTCTTTTTTAGCATTACTTAAGCTTTAGATTACTTTATTATTATTATTATTATTATTATTATTGTTATTGTTATTATTGACAACTTTTTTTCTCACTAAATTCACCTCTTTGCTCGCTAATAATTGGCATTCCCTCGATATAACAAGGGGTGGCAACAGGGTCAAGTCGACATGTTCACTTGAATTGGATCTAAGTTTGGACCTGGTAAATCGGGTTTGAGTCTGAATAACTTTGACTCGACCTGGGTTCAAGTTAACCCGGACCAAACCCAACCAAACTCGAATCCACCCCTAAGGTGAGTGAAGCGGTCAGTTTAAATTTGAAAGATTTCCCACAAATTAAACGTTATGTTAAACTGCCCATTTCCTTTTAAAACCTGGACAAGCAATGTATTTGAAACAAGTACTTTCGATTAATTAGATCGTTTCAAACAAGTACAACTTTTCATTCAATTAACACGTTTTAAATTTGAAAGCTAAATCACTTTTCGAGTTCCAAGTCCATGAAATTTTTTAGTGATTTACGTAGGGACCTTAAAATTGTAGGTACAATAGGAAATGAACTTACATGCGAAAATTACAAAGAGAGTTGGTCAAGTGTATTTTTTTTTTGTCAAAATTATCTCTCGATCAATCCAAATTTTTATTTTTAGTTTCTTCGTTAATAAAGTAGTCCTTTAAAGGTTGAGACATTGCCTTACTAGTGAAAAAACTAAAATAAACATAAAAGATTGAATTGATTAAAAAAATTTATAAAAAACACTAGTTAACTGACTTTCTTTGTAATTTATACCTTAAGCATTTTACCAAAAATTTTAAAGTCCATATGTAAATCACTCAATTTTTAAAAAAACTTTATTCTAGATACCAAAACAAAAAAAAAGTATATAATGAACCATTCACTAACTATTTAAGCTAGGCTCTTTTCCTACCATTGACTCGCACATAAAAAATAAAATAAAATTGATCAATAGAATAAATGCAGCCATCCAAATCCAAGTTCATATTCAATGGTTAAGATGTATTGACTACATTGTACTAAAGATAAATAGTTTCATTATATACTTTTCTAAACAAATAAAAAGTATTTAAAATATTAACCACTAAAAGGGGATTGTATATTGCAAGACCTTCTTATCATTGCAACAAAGAGAATAAATATCAAATGAGACAATACGTTACAATTTTTATTTTTTTTGTTTTTGTTTTTTTTTCCTTTTTTTTTTCTTATAAGCGTGCTAGGCGAGTGTTAGGTCGCACTCCGTGCTTATGCCCATTACTCCCTGTCTATTCCACTCGCCTAGAAAGAGCTCTAGCTCTACTTATCCGTCCCGCTCCGTATTGAGGACACATGTTGATGTTGCCGAAAAGATTGATTTTTGACAAATAAAGTAAAAGAAATAAAACATAAAACACACACCAAATATATAACCACAAGAACACAAGTTTTACGTTGTTTATCCATAAGAACTACATCCACAAGCACGACAAACAGAAATTCACTATACCACTATACCAATGAATGTTACATCAATGACTTTGAAACAAATCTCGACAAAAATACAGTCGAGCAAACCCTTTTAAATCACTGTACTTTTTTTTTTTTTACTTCTAGCAACCACCAATGACACCAAATAGAAACACGAGAGCAACAAGAAACTCTCAAACTAAAAAAAAAACAACAAAAAATCTCTATAAAAACCACTTCTCTATAAGAAACCAGCATCTCAATCTTGAAAAGTCTACAAGAGACACCATCACAAAATTTCTCTACATAGAAATCTCCCCTCTCCAAGAAGAAGGTGCATCTTACTGTATCTCCTTCTCTAGAGGAACTATCATTCCCGTATGGTGACTCAAATTGGACACACAAAAAAATCCATACTATACAGAAAACTTTATAATTTATTGTTACATATATCTCAAAAGATATATCCAAGAGTCCTAATTTTTTTTAATTTCTATATTCTTTAAAAAGACTTATCAATATTAATTTCAATCTCAATCCCATATAATATGAGAACATCTCAATCCCACGTAATATAAAATTTCTTTATGTGGGTGATTTTGAATAGTACCAAATCCAACAACACAAACCAACCGTTCAATTCACCAAACAAAAATGATTGTTACCTCCTTGGTACAAAAAATAACCAGCCTTATTGTATTTACTCATTGTATATATTTCCATTACTAAATGTCCACACTTCTTATTGTATATATTACTATTACTATTTGTCCACACTTGTTTACGATTCAAATGTGCAACAAAAATACTTAGAATACCTTCCGAACAAAATTTCTAAAGAAGTTCCTTATTAACCACTTATAAATTATAACGTTAGAGGAGTCTTATTTGGTTCTGATGGATATGTGAATCCAAATTAGAATAATGTTCGGGTTTCCAAAAAAAAATCTAGAAAAATTGAGAATCGACTTCCAAGAGTTTTTCCTCTCTATATATAAGAGAGAGAATAGAGAAATATATATTTTATTATTTGCAGATAGAAACACAGAGAAAAAGATACTGTAGAGAGAAGAATGTAAAGATAAAAGAGTTCAAAGATTTTGAGTTCAATGCCTTTTTAAGTAAAACCACTTTGTGATTCCTTTCCTTATTAATGAAAACTAACATGTTGATATGCAGTCACTACAACGAACTATATAAAATTATAATATTTTTTTTACAATATTTCTCTCCCACTTTATTTTCGTTGTGTTGCATGAGCATAAGGTCTCTATTTTGTTTCTTATCTTGTAGTAAACCAACCTATTTTTTTTGCTATAGTTGGTCCCCACCAGTTCAACAACAAACTAATAATAAAAAAAAAAAAACCATTAAAATAAATTAAAAAGAAAAAGAGAAAAAAAAAAAACTGCCAACAGGGCAAAATAGATAAAATCTAAATAACACTACTGATTAAAATTTAAAATCTTAATTTTTTCACAACCATAATTTTCATGTCTAGATATTGATGTAAATATTTTCCAACGTTTGAATCACGAATTTTGGACAAACCATTTCTCTTATGCTATAGAAGTAAAACACCCTTAAAATACCCATCTAAAAGATTATCCCAACAATTAAAAAAGAACACGGTTTTGATGAGTTCCCTTGTGGATTTCCAATCCAGAGATGGACGTCAAAGCAAGGTAATCCCACTATCATGTCATGTCAAAATGGATGGTGGAAAATAAATATTCATGAGTGCAATTTTTGTTTTTTCAGAGGAAAAATTTCAAATTCACAATTACAACTTATAATTTAAATTAACTTATAATTTAAATTAACAAATCCGAAAGTTTTGGATCCAAAACCAATGTTAAAGACGGATTTTTAAAAAGCTGACGCACATCTACAACCGACTCACCAAATAGTTAGCTTGGAATATAAAAAAAATTTTCCAAAAAATTAGTACACCTCATTAACGACTATCTTAACCATCCATTTCCAAAATTCATAAACTTATACTTACTCTATCTACACCATTTTTATATTTTTAAATTTCATTATTAACGGCAAAATAAAACGTATAGATTCTGATACTAAACTACATCTTCCGACAGGGTTTTCTTACTTTGATTGTTTTAAGTGGAAAGTGCAACCCAAGAAAAATCTTAAATCACCCCGATAAGTAAATTATCACACTTCTTCCAATGAAGAAAATGAGTAAATTGTCACACTTCCAGTGAAGAAAATGAGAATAAAACACACACACATTTCGCCTAGACTTTGAAGCTTAATAAAAAAAAATACACACCATATTTTACCTAGACTTTGAAGCTTAATACAAAAGCATATACTCCTACATAACTACATCACACTTTTATTTCTAGCAAACTTGATGTGTTGGAAAGATAACTCACCAAAACCTAATCTTCCACAAGTGTATTTACTGCATTTCTATTCTATTTTCACCTCCTTCACATCTTTTGCACTTGTTTCAGTTTTGGGCACTGTCAATTGGAGCACACCATGCTTCATCTCAGCCTTGATTTCATCTAATTTTGCATCCTGAGGCAAACGTAGGCTAGTGTTGTAATACCCATATTTCTTTGTGTCATCCCCCTCTTCTTCCTTGTGCTCCCCTTTGATCACTAGGTTACCATCCTCTATTGTGACCTTAATGTCCTCTTTGCTCAAACCTGGCATTTCAAACCTTAATTTGTAGGCTTTGTCATCCTCGGTGATCTGGTATGACGGCGTGAAGCCTCCGATCAACTCGTCGGTTGCACTGAAAGGCATCACGAAATCGTCGGTTGCACGAGAGAGCGTCAAGTTACCGAACAAACTGTTTAGATTCTCCAGTGCTAGTTCCATTGTTGACCCAAATGAAATTGGGGCAAAGACATCTGTAGAGGTCACGTTAATGGAGTCTCTCAATATAAGAGAGGGGGGAGAAATAAAAAATTATCATGATTATCAAGAAAATATGGAGAATTTAAAATTAAGCAGCATATTGGTATGCTATAAATATATTATAAAGGAAGATAAACTTTATCTAATAGGATTGTATACAATTTAAATATATTATAAAAGAAAATAACTTTATCTAATAGGATTGTATACAATTAAGACCATTTACCTTTGAAAAAAGAAAGTCACAATTAGTTACAACCATCTGATGTGAAATTTGATTCTCAAAAAGTTCAAGAAAATTCTTTTGAAGTTTTGAGCATGGTCAATAAAATAATGCAACCATCCAATTTCTCATCCAAGGCCAAGATTAATTGTGAAATAATGCAACCATCCAATTTCTCATCCAAGGCCAAGATTAATTGTGTCTAATTAAGACACAATTTAACATCTTATTTAGAACTAGGAATTTATGCAATATGGATCTGAAACCCTAATTTTGGATCCTATTTGGATCCAAGCATGGATCCAAGATTCGGATCCAAAATTCAGCATTCAAAATTTAGATCCGAATAGTAAATACAAGATGATCCGATCCGGATTCAACCCGATTTTTAAAATAATATATAAATTTATATGAATAATATATATAGGTTTTTAAAATTTTTAGAAGACCTAATTCTGAGTCCCATGTATAATGTTTGGATCTAGATTGGATCCAGATCTGGATCTGAATAATTTAGATCCCATCAAATTCAGATCCGGACCACATACATACTATTTGGATCCATATTTGGGTGCATCCGGATCCAAATTTGGGTGGATCCAAATATGGGTCGATCCAAACCCAATATGAAAAATTCTGAACTTGAATCATACTCCCAATTTAATTCAAAATACTTTGAAAAAAAAAAAACAACACACACACACAAACCTTGAGTTGCCATTAATGGTTAAGGTATTTTGATAAATTTCCCATAAAAAATATTACATGGTCTTTACATTCGGTTGGTAAGGGGTAGCCATTGCCATTATTTGCGTGCTTAAAATCCATTGAACTTAAGCAACAAACAACTCACTATTCATAATGATTCTATAGGATCCTTTCTCACCCATGTATGTAGGACCCCAAAGGATCACCATTAAAGTTGATACGGATCTCTAGATAATTATCACATGAGTGTGGGACTTGATTTTTCTATAGATCCGTACCAAATTTAATGGTGATCTTTTAGAATCTTACACACATGGGTGGAAGATGGTCCTCTAAGATCATTTCTCATTCATAATATGTCTTACTTAAACGAAGAGCCACAAAAGTTTTGTATTCTTTTATTATGTTTGCCTCCATTATTATTCACCATGTAACTTATCTTCTCCTTAGTAGACTATAAACATAAGATAAATTCATCATAATACATTTAATTGAACTATTTAGCATTTTACTAACTCAATGCCTTATTTGATAAATTTAAAAGTCCATTTTTTGTGTTGATGCACAAAAGGGGTCACAGTGACCCAGCCCGGACGACTGTTTACCAAAAACACAGGTCTCCACAAAGTCGTAAGACCACGTATGGGGGCTGACACCTGCCCAATACCGGAAAGTCAAGGAAGTTGGTGACCTGATGACAGGGGAGCCGGCGACCGAAGCTATTTAAAATTTATGCAAATACTGAGTTCTTGGAAATTAGATAAAAAAACTACCAGTGGGATGTTAAATAGTTCAAATGTTTGGAGTCAGTATGATAAATCCCCCACATAAATTTAAAATAAAGGGAAACATCTAAAGGCAATGGTAATCAAAATAAGGTCCTTCTAAAAATCCATCTTAGAGATCGACTTTTAAATCTAAAATTTCACATGTCAATAATCTCAACCAATAGAAATCATAAATTTTTAAAGTAAAATTTAAGCATTAAATATATTATTTAAAAATAAAAATAATGGCTAAAATTGCAATAGAAAATTGTCAAATAATATAATTTTCATTTCTAAAATTTATACCCAAAGTACATCTCTAAGATCAAATGTTGGAAGGAGACTTGGACTAAAATTATGCTAATATAAATAAATGATTTCCAAAGCCCGTAAGAATCTATCTTTATTTTCTTTTTCCTTGTTCTTTTTGGTATTGTATACTTTGAAATCATTTAGGAGGTCGCAAATATCTGGACTATCCAATTTCAAATTGAAGAGCTTCAGGTATCAAGTTGGAAAAAAACTTCTTTGAACTTTCACCAAACACATTTACAATCACCCAATTTAAAATCCGACGGATAAAAACAACCACACATTCTTATATACAAGAAGGGAACAATCATTTTCACTGATTAAATGTCAAATTGAATTGAATGGCTTGGATGGCTTGGAGTTAATTATGAAGTCTGATATATATTTATATATAAATTGAACTTTGTTTCTTGTATTAACCACCCATTTTAAAAATTTAGACACAAGAATGATTGTGATACAAAAAATAAATGGTCTTTTTGAAGAGATTTGTATACTTTTTTGACAATAATCAGAAAATCCAAGTACACGAGGTTTACCAAAATTTAAGTAATTTTTTATTCTCCCCTCTTTAAGTTCTTGCGAGGAATATGTTAAAAGAAAATATTTAAGTAATTCACCATTAAAACCGAAGGGGGCGAGGTCCCTCCCACTCCTCCATGATCCTCTTCGACGCCTGTTGCATAGTGGCCTTGATCTTTCTGTGACGGCTACGTCTTTTGGATTATCAGCTGTTGATTTCGTGAACCGACGAATCCCACCACCCATCAACTGCCTTTCCTCACCATTTATAGCACCATACCCACGCTCTGAGAGACTCAAACCCCTTCTCACCAGATTTCTCGAGACCAAAGGAGTCATAGCCATACAAGAGAGCGTATAGCTAGAACTACTGAAGCGAGTAGAGAGAGAAAAGGAAGAGTTTAACAATCACAGATAAATTGCAAAGAGCGAGAAAGCAAGTAGCTTGTTATATATATATATATATATATAGTAGAGAGAGAGAGAGCCTGTTAGAGAGAGAGAGAGAGTGCCCTGTTAGAGAGAGAAAGAGATCAAGAGTTAACAAGAGAAGGATGCAGAAAAGAGTCTAAAGGCTTCTATACGAGAAGAGTCCTAGACCTTCTATCTCTCTCCATGGACACATGCCACCTCAAAAAGTGCAGACTCATCTCGAGGGTCATTCTCCAGATGCCAGGTCGGTCGTCCACATGAAGCAACGAATTTTCGGCGACATCGTCCCTCCATGATGATAATATTCCAAATTAAAACACCCTTTTATCTGCCTATCTCATTAGACTTTGATGATGATGATCCCTAATTCTAAAATTGAAAGCTTTAAATATATAGATAAGGTCTATAAACTCTTCAAAATCTTTAAAATAAGCTGTTGGATACCATGTGAGATTCACTATTGTCATCACTTAAAATTCTTTTTTATTTTTATCAATACATGTGGATGCCGATACGACCAATTGAAGAGTTTCTTAGGGCCAGAACAACTTTTTGGGTAGGTTTTGAGATGCAACTTTTTAAAGTTAACACCTTATATAAACCTTATTGCATTATAAAATTCATGTGTTCAAAAGACTCATGACCATTCTATTTGATCCGACACCTAAGATTGCTTTCAAAGTGACCAAGGTTTTGAAACCAACAATCCCACTAAAAAATAGGATCCGGATTTGGTGGGTGGACAATTTGGGATCCCACCCTCTTAAATGCTCCTAAATCTAAAATAACTGGTTTTGCAGCCGATGCGTAGGCAATCCAAAACTTTCCAAGTATCACAATACTAGTTTTGATTGAGCTATGTATATATAGAAATGGACACAATTTATACTCCGTCCAAAAAGAAATAAAGAAACAATGTCATAAGCAAGTGCCAATCACATTTGTTAAACCATCATTTCAAAAAAGCAATTTCATAGTCAGGTGTCAAGTGCCAATCACATTTGTTAAACCATCATTTCCAAAAAGTAATGTCATAGGCAGGTGCCAACCGTGTTTGTTAAACCACCATTTCGCTGGTACCATGTTTGTTAAACCATCATTTCGCTAAATCATACAGCTTCGTATGCCTTCCGAAAAACGAAATCGAAGTGCTATCACACTATTAGGAAGGGATATCAAAATGCTATCAGGGTGCATCTAAAACAAAAACCCATGTAACTAACAACCCAATATTCTTCTTTGCATGGCAATTGAGCAAATAAAACTGTTATCCCCCTCTCTTGTAGCTGTTGAAGATATCATGTATTACATTACAATACAAGAGTTTTGTTGGGTTATAACAAGCCTTCATTCATTCATGTCAACTATCAATGCTTGCTTGTTGGAATAGTAGTAGGAAGAAAGATAGGGCATTTGTTCCTCAAGAATAGAATAATAGTGTTTGTTTTTGTTGCTGTTGTTACACAAATGGAGAGTGTTTGGTATGGGAAGTTAATCGTACATGCCCTCTTGCTCCCACACATCCACCAGGAAATCCACCATTTCCTACACCACAACAAAGAAATGACCAAAAGACAATTACTAAGGAGCCAATTGAGAGAGAGAGAGAGAGGTTTTTGAAATTGTCATTGACATTTGTGTGTAGAGAGAGAAAGAAAATAACCAATTGACAATTACTACGGAACCAATTGAGAGAGAGAGATAATTATAGCACAACAAATTCAAGACAAAAAAAGAAAAAGAAAAAAGAAACGTCATAAAGCAATGATAGAGCAAGTTGATAAAACTAGCAGCCAGTAGATGTAGGATGAAGAAATGGTTCGAATAAAAATCAGGCGAAATCGAAAAGATTATGTTAAGGGCATGTTTGGATACCAATATGTGTTTGCTTTCACAGGCACACAAAAATGTGCCTTTTGCCCATGAGATGAGAACTGGAACTTTCATTTTCATTCCAACAGCAAAAAATTAATGTCTGTGTAAAATCTATTTGCATTATTAAAGGGCATCCATGGTGAAATATCCAAACGATATATTCAACCATGTTACATCAATATTCAAATATCGCCACAATAAAACAACTTTGGGCGGTATCTAAACTGGCCCTAGTATGGCTTCTACACAGAGCATTGTAGAGAGCACATATTCAGATGAAAAATGAGAACATCAGAATCACAATTAGACAGGCACATATTCTGGATGTAACATATAAATGATAGCAGTGACTAAAAAGTTGGACTCATGTGTGGACTCAGTAGGGTCCTCATCCCAAGTCCCTTGGTCCGGCTCGGGTTTATAAAAAACAGTGAAACTCAATAGCTTCTGATCTGGTCTGACTTGGACGAGTCTTGAGTCAGACTGGCATTTTTTTTAGCACTGAAATATACAGCCAAAATTAACATTTTTCCAAAAATATAACATATTGTTAACATATTTTCAGAAAAACTGTCACACCCATGACAATCCAAAGTATATTTTAATCAATAGAGAACAGCAATAGCAAGAGAGATAAAGAGACTTACAGAGAGAGGGATGGGCTGAGGAAAAGGCTTATTAGTCCCCAATAAACTGTCGTATGTAGCATTCCAGCTGTAGCACATAAGTTTATGCAAAAGCATAGCTTGCATGATAAGTGAAAGTTGATATTTTAGGTGTCTTTTGAAAAATTTCTTTTTTTTCTTTTTGTCGTAGCAAGAAACATGTTTAAGAAATGTTTCTAATTACAAACCTTAAGATGGTAAAAATGTATAACATCCTTTCAAAAAAAAAACTAAAATTTAGGTATCATGGATTAGGTTCCTAATTTAGTTGGAAATCCTCTCAAAATAGGAGATAATCTCTTCTTATGTAAGCATACATCCAAACTATTCCTAAGTTTGGATGAAGACAAAGTATTTATTAAATTTAGAACTTTTGCATTCCAATTAGCATTCCATGATATATTTCCAATTAAACTAACAATGAAGGTATTTAATATAGAAGAGATAAACTCCCACATCGTAGCTGAGAATGAGAACCATTTATCACACATTCATTAGATATTTCATCGTTCAATCTGAACAGTGTTTTCTCAAAGTAAGTTAGGATAGGCAAGACGCAATGAAGCAAGGCAATGTCAACTGCTTATAATTTACTAGCCATAAATGTAACAAAAAAGACAATCAAAGTCGGTTCAAATGTTGAATGGCCATTTTAATTATTTTGGTCTCCTTTCATTGAATCATAATAATCAGTCACTGTGTTAGAATCTTAAGGAATTTGCTGCTTAAAAGAGAATTATACACAGGCCAATCCTATTCACACAACACCCAGAACTCCAAAAAATCTGTCGTGCTCTAACTTTAAGTTAGGTGATCAACAAGCAAAAGACCCACTGGTATAATGACTATTTTCAAATAATCAGCTTGTAGCCAGTGATGAAAAAAATCTTTTTCATCGTTAACAAACATAGGGAAAAAGTTTATATAAGGGTGAGGCCCTAAACAATCATATTAAGGCACACCTCAAAAATTTACTAGAAGACGTTGCTTCGATGCTGAAAAACCCTCAATTTAATGATCTCGACCTCAAGATGTATGGACACGAGAAAAAATAGATTTCAAGTCTTGGAAATAATGCATCTTGTAATGCAATATCTAGACTGTCAATTTTCAAGATTTTCAAGTGTTCATAGGTTTGTGTGATCTACACTATTTTTTAATTTATAATTACAGATGAAATTAGATTTTCAGGCTATTACAAATATTTCTCATACTGAAACAACATATTTCAGCACTATTAGAAGGTGCGCCTTACTTCGGATGTTTAGGGCCTCAGCCATATACAAACCACACTCCAAAAATAGTGATGTTTAGTTTTGAACTATCAGATTATGGCCAAAATTTCAAAGTAGATGTAAGATAATATAGATACTACAATTCAATTTGCTGTATGGATAGGGTCTCCATGGTGCACAGCTGCAAATAATTGAGCTAGGGCACCGGTTCTACCAAATGAGAAACACCCAGATCTAGGGCAATAGTTTTCCCAATTCAGAAAAACCAGAATTCAAAATCAAGTCACAACAAAATTCCACTTGCAGAAGCATGAACTATCAACTTTTATTACTAATGGTCATGAGATTGTCAATGTTCTCACTCTTCCATAAGCATCACATTAAGTTTCGGTAGAATAGCATTGTTGTTCCTAACAGGCTATTTGTTTAATGAACTACTCTGATGCACAAATCGAAGCAGATGAGGTCTCCAAAAGCCTAATTGAACTGCATCCATCCACCCTAAAACAACTATAAATAATAAGAAAACGATAGAAGAACATAATAAATGAAAAAACGAGGTGCATATGGAGTTCATCCAAATGAACAGGATCACCATTAGCGTTTAAAAATTAGAAGTTCTATTCGAGAGAATGGAAAATAAAATCAAATACTAATAAGAAAAATATGACAGGTGTTGTTCAGCCTCTTGATTTAATAGTCATGACACAACAGCTATAACAATATGGCCCTGTGTTGAAAGGGTAGCTTGCCCACCAAAGAAAGGCAGTAACAATAACAACTATGAGTTGGAGTATCCCCCAACAAACCACCACCCCCCACCCCCCCCGGCCAAAAAAATACACAAAAAAAAGGAAAGAAAAAAGAAACAGAACAGATTATAACAAATTATAAGAAAAACAAACATGAAAACTCCCCAAGCAAAGTGACCCATATCAAATGCTTGTACCAAGTGGCACAGCCTGGGCATTCTAACTGTTTAAATTCCTTTTTTTTTTTAATGGCAATTGAATCTCATTAATATTTGTATAACAAACTGTTTCAATTCACATATGCCAATTCCTGTAAAAGAATACCATGCTCTTCTCTATTCTCCGATTTCAGATAAGTACTCTACTTAAATGAGTCCCATCTCCAATGGTAATCCGGGAAAACTAGAAAAAATTTCTTCTCAGTGCTCTATCGGATGCAATCATGAAGAATACAAAAACCTCGCAGAAATATCTAACAGTACTTTAATTCAATTTCCATGGATTTTCATGAAACTTGTTTCTAAGAGTTCAAAAAGAAGCCTCAGCAGGAAAGCAACAAGTCCATCCAATCAGTACCCTAAGACGTACTGATGTCATTACAGAAAACCGTAGTAAAGAGTACAGACCTTAGCCTTGGTTCTCGCACCTGTGGGGTACGATTTTCAGCTGGCCTGTTCCCAACCCACTCCTGCCTAATCTGGTTCCACAGAAGGAAACCTGAAAAGACACGTACAATATTCGACATTTAGTTCATAACCAATAGCAATCTTTAGTTTGAAAATGAGAAAAACGACAGCAAAAGGATGCAAATGAAAGACCATAACTTACCGTGGTTAACAAATTCAGTGGGGCCTGTGCTGCATTGTCCACTGTGAGGATCAGGATTTTGGTTTGAAGTGCTTATTGACGAAATGCTTCTTTGTGACTGGACTCCACTATTATCCATCTCATAAGGGCTTGTGCTCCAAAAATCCTCAGACAAACTGGGTTTCTTTACAGTCCTTCCCTGAATTCTTAGTCCCTTTGAAGGCTCATCCACCGCAATAATTGGAGAGGGCTTAGTACAACATCCAAAGCAACCTCTGCTCTGTAGCAAATCAGGTTTTGATGATCACATAAATGATTAACACCACCCTCCAAACAATGAACACTGCATCCCACATCTGTTAACTATAACTCTTTGGTTTTTATGTGTATTTGTCTCAAATTTTAAAACACAGAATCTTTATAGGAGGGCATATATTACTTAATTCTCAAATAATGGAAGCCGTTCCTTGTTAAAAAAAAACAAAAACACAAAAACGATTAAGAGTGAGTATTGAGTCAAAATGATTGGCCTTCTCATTCAGAGCCACACAGACTGTTCGATCAGGACATGAACAAAAATATGCAAGATAGACCCACATATTTCATTCTCAAGCACAGTATTGAGCAGCACGAGGCTTCTTTTTGGGCAATAGCCAACTTCCAGAGATTTCACCATAAACAAATTCCCCCAGAGTTCTACTTTCCATCAGGGCAACCCAGTGAAAATCCCTCCAAATTGATCAGTTAAACCAAACTGCATGGAAGCATGGATTGAACCAGAAAAGAATCGAAAAGATTGCAATTTGGATCCAAAGCATTTTTCACTTCACCAAACATTACTTATGCGGATTTCTCAAAAAAGTTCAACCATCCACAATTCCACATATATTCAACTCTCCAAAAAAAGACACTCCACAGCAAGCCCATTGTCTTCACCAAATGATGAAACCAGATGTGACAAAATTCAAGTAGTTCTTTCTACCAACCCTAGCATACCCCTTTCTCAGCACAAACTATTTTACTGTTTTCTGTTGATGCTTACAACGTCACTTATTCATGTGTAATTGTCCCCACAATCCGTCAAAGCCATGGATGTGTTTGCTTTAATTGCTATACAACGAAAATTAGGAAAATGAAATAGAGAACATACCCTCTAGTGTTACAATTCAAAACCATCCTCATAGATTTGAAAGCATATTTGGAGTCGTATTTCGCACATCATTGTCGTCTGGACAGAATCTGAGCTAATTTTTATTAGCTAATTATTTTCTTAACATAGTATCACATGTCAACCAAACATAGTCAACTTTCCCAGCAAATCGTTGTCATCATATTCAGATACTTAATTGTCACATCCTCCCAACGCTCGAATAAGCTATAATAGATGAGTTTTTAGGCATGATATATACTACAAATTAAACTACAACAATTGTTCCTTTAACTCAACTTCCACTACCATCATCATATGACATTGCGAACCATCCAGGTTTCTGCAGTGAGTGAATGAATAGCTTCCTAGTAGAAGTAGACTATCTTAGTAAAACTAATATACTCTGCATATCATTATTTCGATAGCAGTTTAGTATGTACCTTATACTACATAAAACATTTTCGGCTATTTCCAGCGATTTCTAAATATTTCTAGCTCAAACGATTTTCAGAAAAACAGGTTTTCAGAGAGAGAAACTTATATGTAAAACTGCCAAATTGTTTATCCTCAAAAACTTTATGATGAACACCGTCAAACAACAGATAACTCATAATCACGATTAATTTTACTGAAACAATGAACTGTCAGCGATAACGAGTACATCCAAACAGGTTCTAAAGGTTTACAACACTATTTAAAGGTTCACAAACCCTCCTAACACCTTCCATTTCTCATAAATTCGACAAAACTCAGTGCATCAACCATCACTTCCACATTTACACCATTTCCTCATATTCATTTGACTCAGATTCCAGGTGTATCTCCACATGATTGATGGATATTCTATTACCATATGATTCTTCAAACTCCCACAGGTTTAGAGCATCCAACTAACGGCAATGTCAAGGCGTATTTTGACAGTGTGATGCCCTTGCAGCAGTTTTCCTTTTTCAGCACAGAAAAAATAACCATTTTCTTTTAGTAAGCTAACGAATTCCATAAGTAATTCCATAACAATCAGCAATTATCACATGCAAGCTTCGACTACCATAGAATCTCAAGGCTCAATATTCAATCTGTACCGGTCATGTCATTATTGGAACACTGTACATAAGTAAGCTTATGGCATCACAACTTTTCCAAATAGAATAAAAACTCCAGAAAGTATATATATATATAAATATATATATATATATATATATCAATGGCCATGAAGTGGAAGATGGTGCTTAACTGTAATTAGACCAAAAGAAATAAAGTAAGTGGACCTGACCCATTGAATCGTGAATATATTATATATAATATATTATATATTATTATATAATATATTATATATAAATATCAGTATATATATCAATGGCCATGAAGTGGAAGATGGTGCTTAACTGTAATTAGACCAAAAGAAAGAAAGTAAGTGGATCTGATAGTACGATTCGGGAAAGATGAAGTTGTGGAAGAGGTTTCCTTGGCCCTGCAAAAATTCATCAAGATTGCCGATTGAATCTTCTTGTTTCTTAAATGCTCCATAGGAATAAATCTTCCTACCCCGAGAAAGGTTCATTCCAAAATCCAAATAAACAAGCGATCCACCGATGGAGAATGAATCCGAATCATGAAAGGAGCTCACATTTCAAGCCCCTTATTGTACATAGAATAGGTATGGGTACAAAGAGGAATACAAAAGTCACCTAAACTATGGACTCAGAATCTTGAGGCCTTCTATTGAAGTGGTTGCAAGTCGCCTTCATCTGATTGGTCTGGCTCAAAACACTAAGTCCCCTTCATCTGATTCATCCGGTACAAAACGTATAATCTGGAAGCATCCTTTTGGATTAGTGACCACAAAATCAAAGACATGAGGAATGCCATTCCATCTGCTCTCTCTCTTTCCTTATTTTCTTTTATTTTTCTTTTTTAAGTACCTTCTTTATCGCCAGAAAATGTAAATATTCCCATATCATTGTTGTATCCATTTTAGCCCCACTAATTCTCATCCAAACAATTTCAAACCCCCAAAACTTATCAATTTCAGATTCCCCGCAAATATATAATGTGGATCGCAAGCCTTCTAAAAATACCCACAAATTCTTGTGAATTTGAGTGTATTTTGATTATACACAAATACCCACCTGTGAATCATAAGATGATAAGAATAAAGACCAATTGAACAAGAGCTAGCCTATGCATTCTTGTCATTTGTTCAATAACCATCAGTATCCTTATTTTATTGTAAATGCTCATCGAGGCGGCTGACATTGTTGAAAAATGTCAAGTTCAAGGAAGAACATTATTGGGATAGTTCTTGTTAGTTTGACAAAAATGGAGCTTCATTACCCTTGACTTATTTTTACTGCTTCAATGATTTGATCAATTTAAAAAAATCTTAAAAGAAGGTCTTCCAAATCAGAAATCCTAAGCCACAATCATGAAGAGATGACATCCAAACTCTCCTAGTCCATATAAGCTTTTAAATCAAAGGAATATAACCAGCAAAATAAAAGACAAACATCCTATTCCATTTATGTAGGAACCTAGATCACTTGATAAACAGAATATTCTTATAACATGAATCAGATTAATTATTGTCTCTGGCTTCGAAGCCTATATCACCCCAACAATCCTCCCCCAAAATAATGAAAAATAAAAAATAAAAAACAAAGAAACTCTATTTCATCTAGTACTCTTTCTGCTCCTTTCTTTGATATTTATTCTAGCTGAAAATCAAAAGAATACAGCCACTAAAATAGAATCCTAAACATGCTTCAATGATCAATGTAGAAAGTGAAAAGACCTCCAATCATCTGAAAGGTTATATGGTACCCTCATCAATTGAAGATCAACAAAAAGCTTTAAAAACGTAATTCAAATAGCACATATAATAAATTCCAAAAAAATTTATTGAAAAAAAAAGGTTCCAAAAGACTGTGTAATCCACTCACAAACAAATGTTAAATAATCAAGAATATACCATCTCAAACCTCAAACCCTAGCTTTAGGGTACCAGCTCCATGCTTACCTCATCAACACTAAAGAAAAGTTAAGAAAAGAAAAAAAGGAAAGAAAAGAAAGAGAAAATATATACCATAAGGTTTGGACTACTTCACCACCATTTACTTAAAGAAAATTCTAAAAATAAAACAAAAATTAAGAGAAATAGAATAAAAATGAACGCTTGTTTTAGATGAATAAAAATCACCATATTACAGGTAAACATTATCAATTTATCGGTTAAAAGGAAATGCAAAACATCAAGGAATTTTATTTTTGGGTAAGTCAAACATCAAGGAACTTATGCAGGAAATAATGCATAGACTTCTGCAATCAAGATTTGAGGTCTCCATTTCCCACAAATAAAGAACACTGAAAAATGGCTGAAATCTTAGAGAGCGAAATATCAAACAGCTAATACCTAAAATTATCATGTAAAATAAAATGGCAAGAAAATCAAGAGAGAGAAAGAGCAGGATCACAGATACCTGAAATTAAAATTTCAAATGAAATCCTAAGAAATCCCAGGGGGGGGGGGGGAGAGAGAGAGAGCATAATCCAGACTTATCTAACAATAATATTTCAAATAAAATCCCAAGAAAATCTAGAGAGAGAAAGATAGAGTAAGATAGAGAGAGAAACTAAACCATGCATGCCTAAAATTAACGTTTCAGAAAGATCCCAAGAAAACTTAGAGAGAGAGAGAGAGAGAGCTCTTACCCCATACATGCAACAATATGATGGATCCAAGACGTGAAGGAGGCAGCAACAAGCATTTAAATGAAGAAGAAGCAGAGTTTGCCGTAAATGACCAATCATCAAAGAGCAGATCCCCTCCTCAAAAGCTTCATCATCAGTCCACGAAGGAAGAACAGCCTCGCGATCATATCACTGCAACCAAAAAAACCCGAGCGATCTACCGTCATTCCACAGAGATCGTATATTAAAAACGATTACAGAGAGAGAAAGCAAGTTTTAGAGAAAGAGACCTGAGGGGGTCCATTGTTCCTTCGCGGAAAGGCTCTCTGGGTAGGGGAAATTCGAAGCGGGCTGGTTATAACTGCAAAAGAGGGAGAGATAACAAGCCTAGTGGCGAGAGCGTAGAGAGAGAAACTAGTGGAGAGGTTCTAGAGAGAGAAACTAGTGAGCGATTATGTCGTGGTGTGGTTTGTATATCAATTTGAGGATTTTTACGCATCGAAATGACGTCTTTTAGTGAAAGTTTATGAGGTGCGCATTATTAATTGGGTGCGGTTAATGCACCATCAAATTTTACTTATAAAAAATTATTAAAATTATCTTAAAATTTATTTTTATATTTAATTAAAAAAAATTAAATTTCAAAAATGGTTAAAATTAAAGAGATTTATAAACATATGAAAATCTTCGAAATAAATGGTCTAGATAACTTGTTGCAACATGCATCATTTTTTATACTCAATTTTTTTTTTTTTTCCTATATGCATCTCGATGTCAATGATCAAATAAAGGGTTTTTTAATATTAAAACAACTTTTTCAATAGATTTTTGAGGTGCATATGTAATCCAAGGTTGCAACTGTATATAAACTTTTCATTTATTAATTTGATTGTTTATATAATTTTTTAAAAAAATATAAATAAATTCTCACTTCATAACTCATTGAAAATTGCAAGTCAAGCCGTTGAAAAATTTCTACATACATCATCTCGATTTGCATATTATAGTTATGAAACAAAATTAAGATATCAAGCCTTAAAAATAATTTATATTATAGTAAATTATATAGATGGGTCTATTTTGCTTTAAAAATAAACGCACTTACAGATCGGCAAGATCTGTACCATTTTTTTTTCTATCAAAATTTATTAGTGGTATTCGATATAAACTTTAGAATTATAAATGTTGCCTTGTTAACATTGGTTTAAAAAAAAAAAAAACGAAAATTATGTTCAAAGAATATTTTTTCGATTAAGATTTGAGGTAAGGCTTTTATTATGCTCCCATAAACCTAAGCGTTACAGAAACCTCATCCGTTTGTAATCATTTCACTCCAAGTTGGTCAGTTACCAAATCGAATTTACCCTCTCCTCTCTCTCTCTTTCTCTCTCTCTCTCTACGCAAATGCACAGAAATGTACGACTGTAAATTTACATTCGCTCTCTTTCCCTTTCTAGCTTGACATCGCTAACAAATTGGAATTACTCTCTCTCTCTCTCTAACAAATCGGAATTACTCTCTCTCTCTAACAAATTGGAGATGTCTTTTTCTCTCGAACAAGTTGGAACGGGTAAAGATTATATAACTTCAAAAATTTCACTAAAAGAGGTTGTTTTGATGCTCAAATATCTTCAAATCGATCATCTCGACATCAAGATGCATGGACATCGGAAAAAAATAGATTTCAAAATTTGAAAATAGTGTATTTTATAACATGTTTTTGGACAGTCAATTTTCAAGATTTTCAAGTTTTCATAGTTCTGTCGATCTATACTATTTTTGAAGCTTTAAATTTTATAAATGAATATAAAAAATATATTTTAAGATTATTACAAAGATTTCCACTATTAAAACCACATTCTTCGACATTATTTGGATGTAGGCTCTAATTTGATTGTTTAGAGCCTAGGCTCTATACAAACCGCACCCAATTAGGGTTACACTTTTTCTTCTATCTCCCTATGGAACTTGAGTAGTAATTTTTTATTTCAGCAAGCCCCTGCCCATTTTTTAAAATAATTAGCCGTTTTTTAATGTGGAATATTAACCTAGACCGGTAAAGTTTAAATGATACTACCACCACGACCCATTCCTAAATGTGATCCATTTTCTCTAATCTCTACTCTAAATTTTAGATTCTCTTTCAAACCCCATCTCTCTGATTATAAATTCCAATTTGCTTTATATCCGGATGTCTCTATCGCTGTAGCTTGAGTGCATATCTCTCTCTCTAGTTGTTAAATTCCTCTCTCTACGAAGGTTGTCGAATTGTCTTATCGATCAAATTGTCAAATTGCCTACCTTTTAAGCTATGCTTTTGTTCTCTATTATACTTGCATCTATTCCTTTCGCTCTTTTTGTGGTCAAATCAACCCAGCTTACATTACATTTTGTGCGATTATACTCCCATTTCTCTTGTTCCCCAGTCAAAATGCATCACTTCACTCTATTACTCCTCTCTCTCCCATAGGGGTGGCAAAGCGTCGGGCTGACTGGATTTGGATCGGGTTTTTTGACCCGGACTTGATTTTTGGATTCAAAATTTGGATCCATACCTGGACACGTCGAGTTTCAAGTTTATTTATCGAGTCTCGGGTTTACCCGTCGGGTCCTGAATCAGTTGAGTCCATTGCCACTCCATGATCATGACCTTCTTTTTTTTATTTCATTTTATTGTCAATATTATGTAATTTATTGTTTAGGACGAGATTATGATACTTTCAACAAAAAAGAACATCATAAATAAGGAGAGATTGCAATACTTCCGTTGTTTTTTTTTTTTCTCTCGTTTTTCTTGACCATTATATATTCATAGGCAACATTTACAATATTGCACAACATTTATGGATATCCACATTCCTTATTATTTTACATAATAATTGGAAGGTCCTAAGAAACAAACATATTAGCAGCATTTATGAATACCCACGTAACATATACCCATATTATTCACGTCGAGTCCAGCTAGACTCGACCAAAATAATATTTGGTTCCAGGTTTTGGATTCAAAACCGACCTTTCAGGTTCAAAATTTGAACCCATACCCGAACCCGTGGTCAGATCTACCGGTTGAATCCCGGGTCCGGCACGGTCCATTGCCATCCTTGCTGTCCCACATACACAACACATATCTCGTTAGCCCTCTACTTATCTCTTAAACACATACATACATGCATATTTCTCTAGCTCCTCTCTCCCTATTTCTTCTCATACACACGTTTCATCAGCTGCTCTCTCTCTCTCTCTCACACATAACATCTAAGTGTCATATTCTCTCTCCTCACTCACGTTGCACTCTTTCCCTCTCTCACCCACACATACAATTGATTAGCTCCTCTGTCCCTTACACATTGCATTAGCTCCTCTCTCGCTCTTCTCACATTTGATTAGCTCCTCCATCCCTCTCTTGAATGTTTCCTTTCTCTCTCTAACACACTTATCTTTCATTCCCTTCTCTCTCTCTCATGCACAAAGGCATGTCCTTTCATTGAGGCTCTCTCTCACACACACACACACAAAATGGTAAGGCACTTAGGATTTGAGTGAAGACCAGCATACAAAGGGGAAACCACTCCACTCACAAGGAACCACCCATGCATCCCTTATTGGGGCACATTGGTGCAATAACACATAGGAAGCGCAAATTTCTTTTTTTTTAATGGAAACCACCAATATTATGCGAGTAAGTTTATATGCTCCCGCAAGAGCTAATTGTACACTTATTCCCTCAAAGAACACACAATCGTATCCCAACTATTTGATGTCAATTACATGGAACTTGTCTCTATCAAGAGCCATTCTCTCGGTGGTTATTGCTTACAAGAAATGTCCTAGCGTGAGCATATAACGTAATTTCAAGATTTACGAAAAAGATGTTACAAAGCTTTACGTTGTCTGCCTTACCTAACATAACCCTCTTCTTTTATCCGGACTTGGAACTAGCTTGATCAGATTGGAACTGACCATGGAAAAATCCAGTAACCAACCCATAAATAATAAAAAAAGAAATTATGCATTTTAAAATGCCTAAAAAGATCCATGCCCCGAGATTGTCGATTTATGAGGTTTGGATCTTAAATCCGGAGCTACTTTTTTTAATTATTATTATTGTGAGGCAAAAAGAAAAAACTTTTTCCACCGAAAATCATTATCTCTATTTTGACTCAAATTAGAGAAACCAATTTTCTATCTCACAAGATAAAGAAATATTTTTCCCGTCAAGATATTCCAACAAAGCCTAATTTAATGAATAAATTTAATGCATCTAACATATTTTATGTTTGAGATATAAAGATTTTACTTCATTATTGAACAAATTCAATTCTAGACAAGTGTCATCCTTGATCCATCACATCAAATTCATTTTACATGTAATTCTCGTATTCATCCGTCATCTCAAATTTACTTCTCATGTGGATAAGGTTATCAACACATGAGAAGATATAAAACTCTCTTATGGAGTGTACCAATTATACACAGAAGCTGTTGAGTGTACCCTCAAAGGAGCATTCAATACACTTACTCCCTTATGTAAAAGAGTAGGGGTGGCAATGGATCGGTATTATGGGATCCGGACCCGACCCAACTGGACTTGAACTGATTCGTCCCCACCCAAAAATTTAAATATCTATATATTTAAATATATTTTATAATTGAGACTCAAAATATAATGTGGGACCCCGAGACCCGGACTCAAACCCGAGTAGTATTCGGGTTCAAGATTTTGACCTTGACCCAAATGTCGGGTCCAATTTTTGGACCCACATCAATACCCAAGTCGGGTCTACCTGTCAGATCCTATAAAAGAGCTGCCTAGGAGGAACTTTTTAGATCTGACACACTGGGACTATTTTAGAATCATTGTATCGGCATTTAAAATAATAAAAATGAAGTAGAATTTGATTTCCGAAAATATTATAACTCATTGTCCAAAAATTGGATAGTCTCCATTCAATTTGAGGACCCGGATCTGGCAAAACTTGGATCCTCTTAGACGACTGATATTTGGTATCGGGGAAGCCCTCTCGCCAAGACATTATTTTTCAGTTATATGAGTATCATCACTAGGTTGGGGAGGTAACATACCTAAATTTGGATCCTAAGAATACCCGTGATCGAGTTTTTAATGAATGGATATAAAATCTTTTGGCTTCTACACTTAGTAAAAATACATTTATGAGTAAGATGTTGTG